GTAACCTTTTCGTTTGCATCAATCGACTATCTCTCTTCTGAAACTTCCATCTGCCTTCTCATCGAGTCGCACATCAATGCGCGCATCGAACCAATCCGAAATGCACATTTCGCATTTCCCATCCACAGCCATTCTGAAAATGTTCTGCCAAGTCCCACGCACCCTCCTCCCCTCTCCCCCTTCTTGCCTACTTTCCGCACCACGTGACTCATCACGTGGTGGCACCGCGGACCTCCTTATCTGCGCCAACTCGGCGCAAACAAAGCTGCAACGCTGCAGCGCGCTTCGCATTCGGGTTCCCCTTCCGGCGATCCCCTCTGGGATTCGTTCCGCTCCTACCAGCAAGAATAGCTTGTTTGCCGTGTTCAGATAGGTTTTGGAAAGATAGAGGCTCAGGTGGCCAACACACTCACAGCATCCAAATCTGCTTGATCCAACTTCGATGAACTAGTCCAGATTTTGAGCTGATATTCGCTACAGCCTCTGCTCTTCAACTGACCCTTCTGGATATTGATTGTACCTGCCTCACTCTGCTTGTTTTTTATCCTCTGACACTGTTACAAGCTCATTTCAGCAAGGTCCTTTTACCTTCTAGTTGAATACTGCCTGCATCATGGGTAACCTACTCGCAAGAGCCTTCGCAGCGCTTATAAACAAGCGCGACATGCGCATTCTGATGGTTGGGTTGGACGCAGCAGGCAAGACGACCATTCTCTACAAGCTCAAGCTGGGCGAAAACGTCACCACCATTCCCACCATCGGTCAGTGATCCACGAGAATGCTTGAGAAGGTGGCTCTTCTGATGACGTGTCTAAATTGTAACTACTGTTAGTAACTGAAACCGTAATCATCATGCATCAACGTTTCTTTTCTCTCTTTTCGCCCGCTGTGACTGTATTGCAGGCTTCAACGTGGAGACAGTGGAGTATAAGAACATCAGCTTCACTGTGTGGGACGTGGGGGGCCAGGACAGGGTGAGTTCCCTTGCACCCTCTCTCTCCCTCTCCCTGTGCACGATTCGTTCTTGTCCTGTCGTAGCATACCAGAATTTCCTGTGAAGGCTGTACCTTAATTCACACCTGGCTCCTCTTTCAACGTACTGTAGTCACCCCAAGTCAGCACCTCCCAAACCTGCAGGTCTGCCTTCTCTGGAAGCGCCATTTCCAGCACACCAACGGACTCATCTTCCACTGCTAGTAAACCCAAGTCAACTCAAGTCAGCCCCTCCCCACCCACTCCCCCAGATTCGTCCTCTGTGGAAGCACTATTTTCAGCACACCAATGGGCTCATCTTTGTGGTGGACAGCAACGACAGGGACCGCGTGGCGGAGGCAAGGGATGAGCTCCATGCGATGCTCAGCGAGGTGAGTCAATGCAAGTCAATGACGGTCAACACACCTCAGTTCCCATCTTTGTGGTGGACAGCAACGACAGGGACCGAGTGGCGGAGGCGAGGGATGAGCTCCATGCGATGCTGAGTGAGGTGAGTCAATGCAAGACAATGCGAGTGGACAGCAACGACAGAGACCGAGTAGCAGAGGCGAGAGACGAACTGCACGCTATGCTCAGCGAAGTGAGTCAATGCAAGTCAATGAAGGTCAACACACCTCAGTTCCCATCTGTGTGGTGGACAGCAACGACCGGGACGGAGTGGCAGAGGCGAGGGATGAGCTCCATGCGATGCTGAGTGAGGTGAGTCAATGCAAGTCAATGCAGGTCAATGCAGGTCAATACATGTCCATGCACACCAACGGGCTCATCTTTGTGGTGGACAGCAACGATCAGGACCGAGTGGCGGGGGCAGGTGAGAGTCAATGGAAGTCGATGCAAGTCAGTGGAAGTATGGATGCAGAATTTGATGCAGAGAGAATTTGATGCCGAGAGAATTTGATGCAGAGAGAATTTGATGCCGAGAGAATTTGATGCCGAGAGAATTTGATGCAGAGAGAATTTGATGCAGAGAGAATTTGATGCCGAGAGAATTTGATGCCGAGAGAATTTGATGCCGAGAGAATTTGATGCCGAGAGAATTTGATGCCGAGAGAATTTGATGCCGAGAGAATTTGATGCCGAGAGAATTTGATGCAGAGAGAATTTGATGCCGAGAGAATTTGATGCAGAGAGAATTTGATGCCGAGAGAATTTGATGCAGCTCCACACACTCCTCTCTGCTAATGTTTCCGCCACGCTTGGCGCAACCTTGGGGGACTGAATCGGCGCCATAAGAACCCCCGCGCACACACTCCTCTCTGCTAATGTTTGCCAACAATCAGAAGGTCGCTTCTTTCTCTCTTCCCCCTCCCCTTTCCAACCACCCCCCGTCACACTCACAGGACGCCCTGAGGGACGCGGCGCTGCTGGTGTTTGCCAACAAGCAGGACCTTCCCAAGGCGATGAGCGCAGCGCACACACATTGTTGAGTTGAGTGCTACTCCCTTTCCCCTTGTCTCTCCCCTCTTCCCTGACCCCAAACACACTCACAGGACGCTCTGAGGGACGCGGCACTGCTGGTGTTTGCCAACAAGCAGGACCTTCCCAAGGCGATGAGCGCTGCTGAAATCACCGACAGCCTCTCGCTGCACACGCTCAGGAGCAGAAACGGGTGAGTTAGCCAACACACGCTTTTTTGAGTCTTTATCAAAACATGAGTGCAGCTGAAAGCATCCTGAAATCACCGACAGCCTCTCGCTGCACACACTCAGGAGCAGGAACTGGTGAGCTGAACTGAACTCACACGCACAGACTTAGTCCCATTTTTTTGGCGACTTTTGAGGCGCCTCAAAAGCCGTCGCAGGAGCAGGAACTGGCGAGCTGAACTCACACGCCCAGATACAGTCCCATTTTTTTGGCGCCTCAAAGCCCCCCATATCACACACCCGCCACAACCCACTCATGTGTAATCCGTAGACCACCCATTTTTTGAGTCGACTCAAAAATAGCCTCAAAGCCCCCCATATCACACACCCGCCACAACCCAACTGGTCTTGGGACATATTCTCAGCGAGCAGCAAACTCACACGCCCAGATATAGTCCATTTTTTTGGCGCCTCACAGGCCCCCATATCACACACCCGCCACAACCCACTCATGTGTAATCCGTAGACCACCCATCCCCTCACCTGGGATATCACTGCCTCGTAATACAACCTCTCTCCCTTCTCACTCCCTAACCCCCCTTCCTCTTCTCCCTGTCTCTTTCCCCCACCAGGTACATTCAGAGCACCTGTGCCACATCCTGGGAATATCACCCCCTTATTGCACAACCTTACCCCTGCCTCTCCCCCCACCCCATCACCAGGTACATTCAGAGCACCTGTGCCACATCAGGGGAAGGGCTGTATGAGGGGCTTGACTGGCTTACTACACAGCCTTACCCCTTCTCTCCCCACCTACCCCCCATTCTCTTCCCCTTCCCCCCTATCCCCCCCACCAGGTACATTCAGAGCACCTGTGCTACGTCAGGGGAAGGGCTGTATGAGGGCCTTGACTGGCTCGCCAAGAACATCACACTCAAGGTACTATAGAAAACATGTATAATATACAGTATAGTCTATTTATATCATTACATATTATATAATTGGTGACTCGTGTTACGGAGTGACAGGACACTAAAACTGCTCGCATTGCTCGCATCCTGCCATCTCTCTCCCTCCATTACACCTCGCTTCCCCCAATAATCACCCACTCTTTGTTCACCTCTCTTGCACCTGTTCGTACCACTCTTAACCCCACCGTTGCAACTCCCAGGACTAGCTTCCTGAGCCAACAGCTCCCATGTAAGCAGGCGACTGAGGCATGGGAGAACTCCCACCAGAGACCTACCAGAGAACCCCCTTGCGCAGAGAACTACCATCCAACTCTCTTTCTCAGCATGTACAGAACATCCCGTCTCCCACAACATTCCGTCTGTGCTTGCTTCCACTGCGTACCGTCCAAGAGATAGCAGCAGACAGGAAAGAAGCACTCTATTGCAGCTGGACTTTCCCTTGCTTGTGCTACTACCACACCTTCTAGTTTCCATTTGACCTCTTCGGTGCTCTTATTATACTTTCCTTTCTTGAAAAGAAAAGGAAAAAAAAAATATACAAACAGACAAGAACGCACTCCTTGCTCGATATAAGGTGTTTCATTATAGACACGAAAAAATCAGCGACTCAAACATGAAACTCCTCGCTGGAGGAAAGGAGCGACAAAACACAAGCGAAAGGAAGCAAAGGAAAAGGGAGATAGCTCTATGCATTCCAACCGAAAGCGTGCAGGAGGGTGCCAAACCTAGCCTCAGGGGGGCACACACACACAAAAAAAAAAACATTTACGCCAAGAGTAAGGAGGGGGTCGAACCACTGACCTAGAAACAAGCCACAACAGCCTCAAAGAAGGGCCTTCAAGAGGGAGCAGCAGCACGCGTGCCCCCTCTCCCTGCCGCCACACAACCCCTTCCTCTGGCTCCACTACCCCATCCTCCCCCACCCCCTCCTCCTCAAAGAAGGGCCTTCAAACGAACAACCAAGCCTCTACAGCCTTTAGAGATTCAAAAGAAGTACAAGGCATGCAGCACACATGCCTCCTCTCTCTGCCGCCACCAAACCCCTTCCTCCTGCTCCACTCCTCCTTCCTCCACCACCCCCTACTCCTTGGTAGCCTCAAACGAACAAGCAAGCGTAACGAGCCTCTAGAGCCTCAGAGGCAGCACAAGGCATGCAGCACACATGCCTCCCCCTCCCCCCCTCCTCAAAGAAGGGCCTTCAAACGAACAACCAAGCCTCTACAGCCTCTAGAGATTCAAAAGAAGTACAAGGCATGCAGCACACATGCCTCCTCTCTCTGCCGCCACCACACCCCTTCCTGCTTCAAACCAACTAACAAGCCTCACGAGCCTGTAGAGCCTCAAGAGCAGCACAAGGCATGCAGCACACATGCCTCCTCTCTCTGCCACCACCAAACCCCTTCCTCCTGCTCTAATCCTCCATCCTCCCTACCCCCTCCTCCTTTGTCACTTCATGCGAACAAACAAGCCTCTACAGCCTCTAGAGCTTCAAAAGCAGCACAAGGCACGCCACAGAACGCCTGTCTCCTCTCCCTGCTGCCACCAAACCCCTTCCTCCTGCTTCAATCCTCCATCCTCCCCACCCCCTCCCCCTCCCTCTCCCCCAAATCCCCTTCCTCCCTTACTTTCCTTCCTCCCCAAACCCTACATTCCTACGCCTGCCTTCCCCACACCCGCCTTCCCCACACCCGCCTTCCCCAACACCCGCCTTCCCCACGCCCGCCTTGCCCACACCCGCCCTCCCTACGCCCGCCTTTCTCACGCCCCCCCTCCCCACGCCCACCTTCCCCACGCCCACCCCCCCCACAGCCGCCTTTCACACGCCCCTACTTTCGCCACGCTTGGCACATTCGTGTTTCCCCCATTCTTTCTTCCTCCCCCCCGGCCTCCCCCCCTCCCTTTCCTCCCCAGACTCTACATTCCGCACATCCCCCCCGGCGCCAGCCTTTCCAGAGCCCCTATTTCTGCCATGCTTGGCGCAATCTTGGCATGTTTGCAATGCCTGGCGCAACCTTGGCATGTTTCCCCTTCCCTCTCAAAAGTACCATCAGCGCAACCTTGGCATGTTTGCCACGCTCCCTTTCCCCCTTCCCCTCCCCAGTTCCCCTTTCCTCCCCAAACCCTGCATTCCGCACATCTCGCCCTGCACCCACCTTCCCCATGCCCCTACTATCTCCATGCTTGGCACAACCTTGGCATGTTTGTCACACGCTTTCCCCCTGCCCTCCCCACTTCCCCTTTCCTCCCCAAACCCTGCATTCCGCACATCTCGCCCTGCACCCACCTTCCCCATGCCCCTACTATCTCCGCCACGCTTGGCGCAATCATAGCCGCACCGCATCCCCCTTCCCTCCTTCCCCCCAACTCTCCCCTCCCCATCCCCCGCTTTCTGTCCTTCCCCCTCCCCAGTTCCCCTTTCCGCAACAAACCCTTCATTCCGCATATCTCCCCCTGCGCCCGCCTTCCACACGTCCTTATCCCCGCCACGCGTGGCGCAACCCTTATTCGCGTCCCCTCTCCTTCCCTTTTTCCAACCCCTTCCCACCCTCCCTCCGTCCTTCCTCCTTCCCCCCCTTTCCCCCCCCCCTCCCCTCCGCAGTTCCCCGTTCTCCCCAAACCCTACATTCCGCACGTTTCCCCCTGCGCCCGCCTTCCCCACGCGCCTATCTCCGCCACGCTTGGCGCAACCTTGGGGGACTGAATCGGCGCCATAAGAACCCCCGCGCCCTCTTCCATTTCCCCCGCCCCTTCCGCACCCCATCCCCCCCACCTTCCGCTTCCGCCGCTTCCCCTTCCGCCTCCCCTTCCGCCTCCCCTTCCGCTTCCCCTTCCCCCTGCGCCGCCTGCTCCAGTCCTCCCCACACCCTCGACCGCACCCGCCAACCCATTCTCTTCCGGGTAACCCTCCCCTAGATTACCCTCCCCCACGTAACCCCATCCCGAGTACCCCTGTCTCGGGAATATCTGACAATACGGCCCACACAGCGGACCGCCCACGAGTTGCTCGATTAGGGTTAGGTCGGGGGGCGTGGGGCAGTGAACGGCGGAGAGAATAGCGGGAGCGGGTGCACTGTTGGTACTACTACTAATCGTGGGAGTGACTGTGGTGGGGTCTGACAATAACGAGGATAAGGTCGCATTCATGATTGTCGTGTTTTTAATTTACTTAGGTTTGGATAGAGAAAATTGTGTGTCACTCTAAGTGGTGGCAATAGCAGTAGCAGTTCAGCAGCGGTTCGGCAGCTAATATTATACAAAACAAATTCTAGCTACAAAGTTTACCTCGTGCTAGCGCAAATCATCCAAACACCTCGCAGTTCTGAAAATGGCCCTACTAGCATGCGAGCAAGTTAGATGTGGTACTACTACTACTAGATGTGGTAGCAGCTGACGCTTTTTGAAACAGTGATAGCGGGGGTGTTTCGCAAAAGAGTTTCTGAGTTGTTGGAGTCGCGGAATTCCCAAGGAAGGTCGGCGAAGCCACTAATTGCTCGATATTTGATAAATGGAAGAAGGAACTCGTGAACAATAAATTTTTAGTAGGAACAAGAAGAAATCAGCGAAGCGTACTGTTGCTCGTTCCTCTGAAAAGATAAGGGGCGGAAAATGCAGTCCCAACGACAGCCTTGAGAGCTATGGTTGCGATGTCGTTTACTCGCTGGTAACTGTTGCGAACATTACAAGCATCGCTTCGCTAACAGTCTAGAGTGTTTCTTCCTGACCAGCGCGGCAAGGTCGAGATGGCTGATTGGCTTCCGCCCTGGTGACACGGTGAATCCTCAAAGTCCACATCAGCTCTAGCGAAGCATGGGTTGGTTGACTTGGTTATCCTCTCTAGAGGGCCACACGCAATAACGACAGGCAGCCTACAAATAAAATGTAGAGTCCGATATCGCACAAGCACGTTGCAGAGAGAAAGTAAGTCAATCAGGTAGGTTAGTACTCATCTCTGCTGTATCGATAACCTATAATGATGCTTTATCTAAGCCGATCTGCCCTTTCCCTTTTGACCCTGCCCTACCTCTTCCTTTCGACTTCTCCCCTTCTACCTGCTTCTTACCACCTCTCCCATAAAATCTCAAGTACCATTCTACAAATTGCTGTAGCCCATCCTTGAGCCTGACCGTTGGGTGATACCCTAGCTCATGCTCTGCCCGTGACACATTTGCATGAGTGAAAGGCACATCCCCGTTATGAGGCAGCTGCACTGTCCGCTTCAGCGCTTTCTCCCTCAGATGTAACTGTAGATAGTCAACCAGCTGCGGCACAGAAACCGGCTGGGTATTCCCGAGGTTCAGCACCCGTAGCTGCGCCGGACCTGTCTTCTTGCCTTGGACGCCGGTGCTGGGTGTAGCAGTTTGAAGGGCGCTGACACAGCCCTTGATGACGTCATCTACGTAGGTGAAGTCCCTAGAAACAAGGGTCTGCAGGTGGAGAGAAGGTGAGAGCAAAGAGAAGAGGAGAAACAGACAAACTGAGGAAAAAGAGGAGAGAATGAGAGAGGAGAGGCAAGAGAATGGGAAGAGAGTAGGGGAGGGTATGGGTGGTAGAGGGCTATGGGTGGAACAGACAATGAAGAGGGGGATGGGGAGATGGGGTTGAGAGGTGGGGGAAGGAGCGGGGCGAGGAGAGGGAGGAGAGTATGGACATTGAAGGATGAGGGGGGATGGAAGCTCTAGAAGCACCTCAGCAGCATACACGGGGAAGGTGAGGGGTTGGGGAGAATAGGGGATGAGAGGGTGAGGGGAGAAGGGGGAGAAAGGGGATGGGTGGGGGCGGAAACGGGGGAGGAAGGGGGGAATGTGGAAACCTGGATGGGAAAGAGGAGACGAGATGGGTGGGGAAAGAAGAGACAAGCCTTAGAAGTATGCCAAAAGGGCAAAGCATTTGAAGGACGACTCACCCCATTGGCTCCCATGTACACTTCAATCGCCTTCTTTTCCAAAATATTCTTCGTAAAAAAGAAATACGCCATATCGGGTCTTCCCCACGGCCCGTATACAGTGAAGAATCTCAACGCGGTTAGTGACAGTCCGTGGATGTGATTATACGAGTGTGCGATCGCTTCGCCAGCCAGCTTTGTCGCAGCGTACAAGCTCGCCGGTCGTTCGGTCATGTGCGACTCCGAAAACGGAACCTCACGATTCACGCCGTACACGCTGCTGGACGACGCCCAGACGATCGCAGGCTGTCGCACAGGCACCCTGCGACACCTCTCCAGCAGATTCACGAACCCTGCGACGTTGCTGTCCACGTAGGATTTCGGATTCTCCAACGCATACCGAACTCCCGCTTGCGCCGCCATATGCGCCACGTGGGTGAATGTGACTGTAGCAAACAGCTTGTCGAGAAGCGTGCCGTTGTTCAAGTCACCACGGATAATCTCAATCCCTGCAGACCAGAGTCGCGCCGCGCGCGCCTCCTTCAGCGTAGTATCATAGTAGTCGTTAAAATTGTCCAGACCCACCACCCCGTGACCCTCCTTTTTCAGAGCCAGCGCGAGGTGCGACCCGATGAATCCGGCAGCCCCCGTTACAAGAACAACCATGGACTCGTTCTGCTTCTGCCCGCCAGTCACGGCTGTGACTGACACCGGGCTCCGTAACTGCTGACCGGAAAGACTGCCGTTGACTTTTGCTGACTCAACCAGCCGCCGTACCCAGTCAGCCTCATGATTCCCGCCGCGATTTCCGCTCCCAGCGCCTGCGTCGCGACCACGACTGCTCGGTCCGATGAGGTCCGCGTAGCGCGATAACAGGGACGCTTTTGGCGTGTACAGCGCCACCGCGTCGTCTTCTGCCCGTTGATTTCCTCTGGTCTCGCTGGAATGGGTGACGGCGGATTCAGCGGCGGCTTCCCCGGCGGTTTTGACGGCGGTTGTGGCGGCAGGGGGAGTGACAGTGGACAGTCCAACAGAGGGGTCGAAGGAGTTGGACGAGTAAGCCGTTACGGAAATATCCGTGAACTGTAACGAATTCCTCGTTAGCGCGTACGAAGTGTAGGACCCCGCGAGGCTTGACACGATCGCGGTGAGCGCGCAGGCGAGGACGAGGAGAGACCACGACGGACCGCGATCGTGCTTGTATTTACTGTGACTATTATGAACGGAAGGGGCATCTATCAGGATGAACGAGGAGACAGAGTGGCTTTTGCTGAGCGACGCGGCTCCTCCCGACTGTTTCGCTCTTGAGGGATGGAGTACGACACGGGAGGAATTTGGCGGGTGTTGTTGAAACTTCTCGGAAGCATCGTGCGAGGAGAGAGAGTGGCTCTTGCTCAGCGACGCGGCTCCTCCCGACTGCTTCATTCTCGCTTGCGGGACGCGAGGGATTCAACACTTTATGGCTGATGAGGCGTCTTGAAAACCGTCTGTGAGGGGTGGACGGACAAGGCGGACAAAGCGGCCACAGCGCGAATGATCTATTGATTCTGCGCGCAGCCCAACTCTTCTGCTGGGAAAAAGGAGAGAAGAGGTTTATCTAGGTTGAAAACCATGCAGCCTTACGATTGCTGTCACGGTCTACGCCGAGAAAGCTGGGCACCCGTCACGGTCGCGGTGAAGGAGTTGTCTGGCTCTGATAAAGTGACAACTGTTTCGGTGATTACACGTTTGTTGTTCCTTGTTCGAGCTATCGTTATAGAGCTAACAGCAACTTCTGACCGTATGCTACTACTGCCTTTGTGCTGTCTCTCTGTGAATGATGGAAGAATGGTACGATGGTTATCCGACGAAGTTTGAAGCTATGAGGCACCTCAAAGCGTTGTGCCTTTCTCTTCTGATACTTTCACGGTCAAACTATCAGAACGTGCAGCGCCGTTGTGAGTAATGAAACGTCTCAAAATCGATTATTACTCCCCAGATCAGCGGCATGCCGTACAGACTAGTGCTTGCGAGCGACGGGTGTTGGATTAGCTTCCCAGCAATTGACGCAGTCCGAAGCGTGTGGATTGCGGTTCGAGAGTCGCGGCGGAGGCAAAATACCTTGAGTTCTGTCGAATGATCGGATAGTTGTCTGGTCTCTCGTTGCAGCAGGTATGACATTTCTGTGCTTTGTTCAGTAGGGAGACACGGGAACTAGGCAAGAATTTTAGAAGTAGTGAGACACGGAATTAGCTCGCGCGAAATCTCGGTCCGCTCAGTTGCTACTCCTAGCGGTCCGCGCAACCTGTGCAACTTGCGCAGTCTAATTTGGCTTGCGCGTGGCCGTTTAACGTATGTGAGAGGGTTGAAAACTATTCAAAATGTTGCAGAGTGTTCAGAAGGTTCAGGGGGGTGTAGAAGGGGGAAACTAGGGGAGGTGGCGGAGGGAGATGGGACAGAATTTGCTGCAGCATTACGCGCCTTGCCCACACAAACACACACCCTTCCAGTCCAACACATCTCCTGATTGCCCCACACGTTTCGATGTGCGACTCGGGAGTCGGGACACCAAGGAAGGGCCGACAGCTAAACCGAGTCTTAGAAATGAACCCCACCAAATCTCCGTCTGTCTGTCGCAGTTCCCTTCGCACAGTAAGATTTTCTGACTGCCAAGGCAGGACTCTGGCGCTGCGCGACGAGGCGGGCGGGACTGTCGGTCAGAGAGAGCCGTTCTGCGACTGTGAGGGAGTTGAAGGATGGTTCGCAGAGCTTTCGAGGCCGTCGCCTCTGGCGGCAGACTGCGCAACCCGCGATGTGCCCCAGCCAGCCGCTTGCTTGAGCCCACAGGATCGTGTGGTCGTCAGACGAAACCTTGACGGTAGTTGTTGTCACCGTTACGCGTGTGATATTGCCGTAGCTAACGTGTATGTAGAATTAAGCGAACTTTTGTTATTGTGGATTTGCCAGCTTGACTTTTGGTAAAACAAAAGGAACACAACAGCTACTCGATGTCGCAAATAATATTTTTTCTCCTCTGATGCATTCGTAATCTCTGCTGTCAAATATTCACATTTCATCATACATCCTCTACGAGGGCAAACAAGCTATGAGTGACAGTTCTTAATAACTGGAAGTCACCTTAGAATGGGATGTCATCATCATCCCCATTTTTATCCTCCTCAAAAATGTCGTAAGGGTTGCCTGTTCTTTGGACACCTCCATGAAACCCAGTAGCTCTGAAGTTCTTCAGTGTCAATGGAAGGGACTCGCTTGCTGGCACCACAATCTCAATCTCAAACGTCCCTTCTCCCTGCATGGCACAAGAACGACACTAGGCTTATAGTGAGACACTGAAAATGAAGTAACAGAAACAGCACCAGACGAGGGTTTAGTGCGGCGGGCACAGGAGTCACCCTCTTGCTCACTCAAACACAATAAAGTTTCTTCTGTACAACTCACCACAGGTATCTCTTTGATGCTTGCCAGTCTCCCCCTGTTTGGAATTGCAGGTTCGTCATACGCATCCAGGACAAACCCGAATACATCCGCGTTATAGACAGGCCGTCCTGATTTGTTCACTGTAGTGCCCATAATCAAGAAGCACTTGGCCTTGTATAGGGAAGATCCGGGCCCAACCGTGTAGGGGTTGGCACAAGGGCGGTAGGTCAGGTCTTTAAGAGCCACTGTAACCACCTTGAGTAGGCACAAGAGGGTAAGGGAGGGGTGGAGTGAGGGAGGAGGAGAAGGAGGTGGAGGTGAATTTGGAGGTGTAGCAACACTGTAATGCTTAACATGTATCACTGAGTAAAGAAGAACACTCACATGACATCATGCGCAGAAGGTGTAGAAAGAATTGTGAAGAAATTGGACGGAATTGCGAGGAGAAGAGAACGGGATAGGATGGAGACATAAAGAGCACAACGCAAGACGGTCTCTACTAGGGCTCTCGAGTTACAATAGCAGAAGCGGCTCCTAGGAAGCAGCTTAGGCATCACACGGTCATAAGGGCGTGTCACATCGCCAAACTCACAATTTTTGGGAAATCCGTCTGGCCGTTGTTGGCGAATGTAACCACATAACGACGCTCGTCAAAATCCTGGCGACCGTCATTATTTGTATCTAAAATTTGCGAATTTGAGGGCCGTTTGAACGGGCCGAAACTAAACCGAACACCGTGTCGACTCCAATCCAGCCAACTAGTCGACAGGATCAGCGACCGTCACCTGCGACGTCGCAGGGTATCGCACGGCCAATGAGAATCATCGCCGTCATATTTGCGACCTCATCGCACATCTCCGGCTACTGTAGCACGTGCAAATGTGACAACTTTGATACAACAGCCAGCAAATCGGCCATCAAAGTTGTCACATCTGCAAAACTGCAAATCGTGGTCGAAACTTTGTCGACCAATCCGTCGACTTTCGCGAAAGTAAATGACGACCATATTGTCGACGGAAATTCGGCCAAAAGCCATTTTCGCAAATGGTTGGCGATGTGACACGCCCTAATGGGACGTCGTTACAATGCGGCGAAGGGGTGACACGGTTCAGATTCGATATGGTTAGTATGCGGCGTCGGGATGGCATGGCTCAAATTTCAACTTACTGCGAGAGCTTCAGGCGGTTGAACCCAGGGCATCCCCGCTGTGACAACCGCGTTTGCGTGACATTAGATGGAGGTGATTTTTTAGTTACTTCAAAAAATAACGTTCGATAATTGACGTACTGCGAGAGCTTCAGGCGGGTGAACCCAGGGCATCCCTGCTGTGACAACAGCGGCAGCGGCTGTTGTAGCAGCTCCGGGAAGAACCGTTCGTCGGGAGTGGTTACCAGACGATTCCAGCGCGACGATTGCATTCGTGAAAACCGTCTGCGACGACGCGCTACTGTCCGCCCGTTCCGCCTGAGATCGCACGGTGAGCACGGAGTGAGCATTTAGCTCGCGAAATTTCACGCAATGTGATGATGATGCCGCTACTTTGAGTTCGCGGCGACCGCCGGACATCCCACCGAGCAATGCTAAACTCGAAAGGGGCCGCGCAGTGGACGACAAGCTACTAGCGGCAGCCATTTCAGCGTGAAAGGCACGAGAAGCGTTGCTCCTCGATTTGGTAATGTGGAGCAATAGAGGATGGAATGGGGTGAATTGAAAGGTGAGGTGAGGGATAGGGTTGACTGCTTCTGTGAGTGATGATAGGTTGGTGATGGTGAAATGGAGGGTGTGCACCTTGAAATGTAAATCAAACCTATCTGAGCCGCACAAAATCTCACAAAAGCGCACTGTATGAAACGCCACGATAACATGAATCCAGCCCTTGGCCCGTTCCAAAGTTGGAACACTTTTCCACATGTACACCTCAAGAATCCACGTCAGAACGGATGTCGACTTCTGGTTCCTAAGACAGAGGCCGTAAAAGCCCGACCAGTTGACAAAGAAGGAGACGCTAATGACGCGTATCATCTGTGAATAGGCCGCACCTTTTCTTTTTCTACAAGGTGAGATGACCTGGTCAGAGGAAAACGCCCCCCTCACGCAAATAGCAATCGTGCCTACACAAGAACCAGCTGACTATGAGAGGGGAGAAAATATGGGCAAACAAAATAATTTTGGTATTTTTCTAACGCAATATAGAGAGTGTCCTTTGAAATGCTGTACAGACGGGCACAGCACGACCAGCACGAATCTGGGCGGAAATGTTTCGTCCGCGCCGCACCGCGCCAAACATTTTCCCCGAGACGCCACACTGCGTACATCCTCGGATCGTGGTAGCGAATTCATCCTGCAAATACTCCTCTCCTCTCCTTCCAACAAGGGGCAGCCTTTCAACGAGGTTGCCATTCGAAACAGAAATTTACCTCCAAATCGACAACGTGATGGTGGCGACGAGGTTACAGTGAGGCAGCATCCGACATTCCCAACGCCTGCTTACTGAACCGATCGGAACCGTGTTTAGCACCGCTATAACTCGTCACCATCACGAATTTCGATTCAGTGAAGGTCCATTCCCCTTCTGACCTCCGCAACGAGGATGTTTGGTATGTCACCAAACCGAACATCCTTGACAGAGCACCAGCTACACATCCGATGTTCTCCCTACCCATGTTCTGTTGCCTGCCTCCCCCCTTGTCCTCATCTTGCCCCATCCCGCACCGCAGAACGTCCACTCCACATCAAGCCATTTTCCGACGAATACGAGACACATTGTGCCATTCCCCGGCACCACATATATCTCCCATGACCAGGATCTCCCCTGACAACGCTCCGCCTTCCACGGGCTCCGCCGAGTCGCGCACAGCAAGTGGCTCCTGCCTGCCCTTGTCCTGTTCTCACCCAGGCGGCCATACGCTACGCGCGCAGGTCTGCCGTGCTTAGTACATAAAGTTCCGGTCGATATGGAGTTCTAGTCGACTCGAGCGAGACTCAAGATGAGTTCTCGTGTCATCGTCTAGGCCATGATTGGCCATGCCGATGTACCTTTAGTGCTCATATAGCTTATTTCCTCTCGACGACCAAGCTGAAATAGTTTCTTCCTGCCACTATACTCAGGGTTATTTTCAGTGCCACCAGGTGGATTCTTGAGTGCGTGCGCTATTGATACCGCTCAAACCTCCTCTTTGTGTGGTAAATTGTCCACAGTCAATGCAGACGAGGACTCGCGTGAATAGAATTTGAAACGAACTTCGGTACTGACAAAAAAAAAAAACCAGAAGTGCTCAGTGCCAACTTGTGCGAGCTAGTACGTCATTCCTGCAAGCGAGATATTGAGTGGTGCTTTAGCCCTCTCGCGAGCTCCGATACTAGGGTGGAACTCGAGGTTTCTACGACAAGGTCTCCATAGTCGTGACATTATACGAGTTTACCTCATATCTACTCGTGACTTGCTCCGAGATCGCTCGGAGAACCTACGAAATCAGTCGTGTCAGTTCTAGTAGTGACCTGGTCCAAACAAGGTCGGATAACACAAGAGCTCAGTTCTACTAGTGGTGAATCCTCTTTCCAAGCACGGGCCACGCGCAAAACCTCGCCTTAGCTGATGTTATGAACCTGTGGCTTTAGAGTCGTCTCGAACGACAAATTGAACAGAATGCGGTTGACAAGTCGAGTCAACGCGTTGCTCATCATCATGTTGAGAGGGAGCAAGATGCTCGCGTTCATATCTCTTTTTCTCGTCGCCAGCTGCTCCACTCGCGCAGCTGTCGGTCAGAACGTCTCTGTCGCCACAATACATTCTCGGTCACCCGGTGATGCCGATTTGCTGACGTTCCAAGGCCGCCCCACCAGTCGCGCTCTGGCGGGCGGTGACGCATCGGCGGAAGGCGTTGGCGGAGCAGCACCGCGGCAGGCGCAGGTAGCGGGACGCGCGGGACCAGCATCCGCGGAGGTGGTGGGGAGTGCGGAGACTGAGGAAGGAGGGCCGGTGGCGTTTGGGGGGCGTCGGATTTCGTCGCTGACAGGCATCGCAACAGCAGGGAGTCAGATGAAGGGGCGGAGTCCCGCGGATGGGCTAACCCCGCGGGGCGTGCGCGGAACTACAGGGGCAGAGAAAGGCGCGCAAACGCGGAGGCGGGGTCGGGGCGCGGGGAAGCACAAACCGCACGCGAAGTCCAACAAACCGGGCAGCAAAACGGGCAAGAAAACGGGCAGAAAAACGGGCAGGAAGAGAGCTGCGGAGGATCCGCTTTTCCCGTGGGTGGGGAAGCCGAGACTGGTGACACTCGACGCAACGAAACGAGGCCGATGCTTGGACGGCAGGTAATTTACTGAGTAACTGAGACTGGATAATGCTCCATGGATGCTGGGTCGTTGGGTGGCCGTTGGGTGGCTGCTTGGGTAAGGGCGGATGACTCTGCGCGCGACGAAACGAGGCCGATGCTTGGACGGCAGGTAATTTACTGAGTAACTGAGGCTGGGATGTTGGGCTGAGGTGATTCACTCACTGACGGGGGCTGGGTTGTGGTTCCGTGACTGCTGGTCCGTGCCTCGGCTGCTTAGCTTCGAGCCGACGAGGCCGATGCGTGGGACGGCCAGTGAGTGGTGACTCACTGACAGAATGCTGGCGAGTTTTAAGACGACTCGAAACCCGATTGGTGGACTGCAGGTGAGTGGTGACTCACTGACAGAATGCTGGCCTTGGGTTACGTCGCTTGGCTCACAAGGGTGGCGGCACTATAATCGATGATTATCATGCCAAAAAGGAGATGCCGCAAGCTGCGCAATCTCCTCCCTCTCCAATTCTCCCGCCCTTCCGCGTTCCCCCGCTTTCTGCATTTGATGTTTGAAAGGGGGGAATGGCACGTGCCGCCGATTCGTCCCTTCCTTTCAACCCTCCCGCCGTGTCGCTATGCCTCCCTCTCTGTTTTTGAGTCGACTCAAGTTTTTTAGTTGGTTTTTGAGTCGACTCAAAAACGTCCTCCCCGTTCCGCCATGCCTCCCTCTCTGCTCTAGATATGTTTCTATCCCAGTCAAATTGTTAATCAACATAGCCTAGTTTTGAGGCGCCAAAAAAACGACGTCTCTAACCGCCATTCTTTCCATTTCCTTGACTTACGCATCACTACGCATCTCTTTCCCCCCTTTTCCTTGTCTGCTCCCCAACGTTCTTGCGATCCGCGTTATTGCAGCTCCCCCGCTTTTATCATCCGATACGGCTGCGGTCGTACCCATCCCTCTCCCTTTCTCCTTGTCTCCTCTGGTGCCCTGCACCTCTCCCCAACGTTCTTGCGATCCGCCTTATTGCAGCTCTCCCGCTTTTGTCATCCGAAACGGCTACGGTACAGGATTGAACAAGTGGATATTTTATCTCGAGGTAAGCAGCACAGTAGAATGTCAATCTGTACATTTGGAAAACATTTCGCGTCGTATGAACTCTGGCGAATGTTCTTGTGCTGGATTGTGCGGGATCCATCAAGCTTCATACTTATTTAAATCCCACCCGTTTGTGTCCCACTCGTTTGTGTCACAGGGCGGAGGCTGGTGCTTCAGTATTAAGCAGTGCGCCGTTCGGTCCAAGACTATGCTCGGGTCCTCCCGTTACTACAACCAATCGGTACAATCACTCTCCTTCAGACCCCTCTGGTACCATCTCTCGCGTCACCCGTTCGCTCCCTCCCCCTCCGGATTTCCTCCTCTCTCTTCCCATTCCCTCCCTCTCTCTCTCCCCCCATTCCGTCCCTCTCTCCATCCCCATTCCCTCCCTCTCCCTCTCCCCATTCCCTCCCTCCCTCCCCATTCCCTCCCTCCCTCCCTCCCCATTCCCTTTCCCTCCCTCTCCCCATTCCCCCCCTCCCTCCAGCCCCCCATTCCCTCCCTCTCCCTCTCCCCATTTCCTCCTCGTCTCCCTCCCCATTTCTCCCCTTCTTTCTCTCCTCATTCGCTCCATCTCTCCCTTCCCATCACCTCTCTCTCTTCCTCCCTCCCTCCCCATACCCTCCCTCTCTCCCTCCCATTCCCTCCAGCTCTCCCTCCCCATCTCCTCTCTCCCTCCCCATCTCCTCTCTCCCTCCCCATTCCTCCAGCTCTCCCTCCCCATCTCCTCTCTCCCTCCCCATCTCCTCTCTCCCTCCCCATTCCTCCAGCTCTCCCTCCCCATCTCCTCTCTCCCTACCCATCTCCTCTCTCCCTCCCCATTCCTCCCGCTCTCCCTTCCCATCTCCTCTCTCCTACCCATCTCATCTCTCCCTCCCCATTCCCTCCCGCTCTCCCTACCCATTTCATCTCTCCCTCCCCATTCCTCCCGCTCTCCCTCCCCATTTCCCCCCATGTCCCAGTGTCTCAACCACCTTCACTCCCTACACAGCTTTCCGTTCCCCTCCCTTCCTCGCTAGTTCCCTCATTTTTCCCAGTCCCAACCCTCCAATATCCTCCCCACAAGGCTTCCCGTCCCATCACTTCCCCCTCTTTTCCCTCTCATGCCCGAATTTCCACTGATCGGTCTTGCTCTCAGTTTCGCACATCACTTTTCAGAATTCACAAAAGTGACTCTGAAGTAGCGTATGTTTCTTTAGAACTCTCAAAAAAATCACAAAAGTGACACTGATATATCATGCTCTCAGCTTTCCCGCATCGTTTTTGTTCCCTCTTCTTTTCTTTCAGCCTCCAATTGAGAAGAGGATGTAAAGTACTCTTGTATCGCGCCACCTTTTAGCGCGTGCTAGGTTGTACCACAAAGCTGTCTTCTTACGAGATTTTTCTATCCTCCCTCACCGCCCCAATCAATCTGCCTCCTCCCCTTTTCGCGCCTCGATGTTCAATCCCTCAGAAAGACATTGACTTGGGCGGAATCGCGAGTAGCGACATCAAGGTAACATAACAGCCTGTTTGGTTAGTACGGTACGCTTAAGGTTAAAAACGGTATAAACAAACACAGACATACGTGAGCAGGTAGACACTGATATGGGTGTTATCACAACTAATGAACTTCACCAACTCAACACTACGTAGGTACAGCATCAGTAGCAATCTGGATATGTGATGGTAACATAAAGTGTTGAAAGTTGTCAATTGCCATTGTTATAACTGCAAGAGCTGGAACTTTTGCTAAGTATCACCGTTAACTAGAACTATTCCCATTTGACCTTATCATGCGTCAACTCCTCTGTTTTTATTACCTGCAGGTCAACCCAGGTTTCCACAACTGGAACTTTGTCATTTTCAAATACTGCGACGGCGCTGCTTTCGCTGGTAGCCGCGGCGCCGTGCAATCGCGTAACGCCAACAGCAACAAGCCACCAGTCTACATGGAAGGGCGGTGGAACCTTATAGGGATAGTGGAGGAGCTTTTAGCGAAGCAAAGGCTGGGACAGGCTACAGACGTGCTGCTGACTGGCTGTAGCGCGGGGGGGCAAGGGGTCAGCATGGTGTGTGATGGTGTTGCCAAGTGGATGGCTCAGTACGGAGCCAAAACCCGGTGTCTCATGGACGCTGGATTCTTCATGGGTAAGGATGGATTGCATTCGGTTCCACTAGGTTATAAGGTGGGCTTGTAAAGTGGGTGTGTGATTGTAAGGGAGGGGATCGTACGACTTCCGCCGTCCCCCCAGTCTCTCCCTCACATGTGTTTTTCCCATTCTTGTGCCCCTTCTCCCCCTTCTCGCCTCACCTCACCTCCCTACTCCAGACATCCCCACCGTACGTGGCGCGTACGCGTTTCGCCGTCGGATGAGCCAGCTGGCGTCGACGGCAAATCTCGCGCAATCCAGCTACGACGTGGGCTGCGCTGCTGGTGCGTGTGATATGTGTAATAATATGGCGTGTTTGTGACTGTACGTTTGTGACTGTATGCGTGCGTCTGTACGTGTGTGGTTGCGCCAGCTGGCGTCAACAGCAAATCTTGCACTATCCAGCTATGACCAGGGCTGCGCTGCTGGTGAGTGAGAGAGTATGCAGGTGTGATTGTATTATATGTTACTGTATGGGTCAGAGGAATGGGGTAGCTGGCATCGACAGCAGATCTGCAATCCAGCTGTGACCAGGGCTGCGCTGCTGGTGAGTGAGAGAGTATGTGAGAGTGACTGTATGCGTGTGTGATTGTTTGAGTGTGATATGGATAGGTGCCGGTGCCCGTGTGACTCACAGAGGATCCAGCTATGGCCAGGGTTGCTGGTGAGGGACAGAACATGTGGGTGTGATAGAATTATGTGTGATAGTATGATGTGTGATAGTATGATGTGTGGCACCCTTGATTTTTCTTGTTATACCCTTGCTTTGCATTTCTCCAACCCCCTTCCTCTTCCACCCTCCCCATCCCTCTCTCCTGTCCCCTTTATTAACAGCTTTCAGAGGAACAAAGCAGTCATGGAAGTGTACCTTCCCCGAGTACAACCTGCATTTTGTCAGCACGCCTACATTCATCCTCAATAGTAACATCGACTACAAGGCTATAGCGATGACTCTTGTCGGGACAAGTAAACCCATTACACACCCGCTCATGCACTGCTACTATTCTGTGGGATTAAACGAGTGTACTCCGGAACAACGAAGCGAAATCGGCAGTTACGCAACCCGGGTTATGACTACAGTGCGGACCGTGGTGGACAATGCGAAGCGACGAGGAGCGGCATTTACTTCGTTTGTTTATCAAACAAAATCGCATTGTATGCTGGGGGATCCTGGGTGGCAAAGTGCAGTTTCGCCCCAGTGGCCTGGTAAGAACCTGCCTTGGGCTATTAGCGAGTGGTACTATGGTGCAGCTGTTGCTGCGCGCCTGCACAGGCGTAGATAGTAAGGTGTAGTGTTTTCATCCAGCTGTTTTGTCTGATTTGTGATAGTATTTGTACTATATATTGTTATTGTTTTGTTTCGGCATTTCACCTTGAGAGCAGTGAATTTGTTGGTCAAGTCAAGAGTCAGGTCACACAGGCACACACATGCAACCACATGCGTACCCATGCATGCACTCACGCACACAAACTTCTAATGTAGAAGTTCATAAGGATACCACACTCTCGTAGACACTCGAAAGCCATTACCGTACATTGGAGATCAATACAGATGTAACACCGTTTCACTGCTGCCTGGTGCTACTACAACATGACTGATACTGTACTTCTAAGCTTTAAAAAACATACAGAGCAACCACATTAGACATCAGTAAAAATGTTACGCTGCTTCTTGGTTCCAACACATGACCCTAACCTATAGAACTCCAAACCTGTTAAGAGCAATCACATTAGAGATCAGTACAGATGTTACACTGCTTCCCGGTGCTACAACCAGCAGGGATGGAGGCACAGCTTCATGGTTTTCTGACAAAACACGGCTCCCTGACTCTGTATAAGTCGTCCTGTACACCTCAAAAGAAGCCGGGAGAGCCTCGTTGTACACTCCAAACGAGGATATAGAAACAGTAACGTTGTAATCTGCCAAGTCTTGATTCACGATGAATACTGACAGTAGGTGCTGCCCAGGATGGAAAAAGGCAGCTACGGAATGATGACACCCCTCCGATGAGTCGATTTTCAAGGGGAAACTCCCCTTGGGTGCCCCTCGAATAAATTGCCATAACATGTAGTATTTTTTCGAAAACGTAACTTGTAACGGAGGAGCGGAGGAGTCGTGGATTCGGTTGTATGGGATAACGAAGAGGCCCCAATTGAGTGCAGATGGGTCCTTCTGATCCTCCTTATTGACTGCTTGCCAGAAAATCCAAGCTGAAGCTCCCAGAATATTCACCGACTGAATAATACACCTCGCGATGAATGCGGTTACCGCCATGTCGTCGCCGGTTACAAAGAGAGGGCCCATTTCCGACACCCACACCTCCTTCCCCAGGGCCTCTGCTTGTTCCCGCAAGGGACCGAACTTGCCTTCGATATAATCACGTGCGTTTGTGCCGTTTTCCGGGGGAGACACGTACCCATGCACATTGATTCGGGTCAGTGAGGATTTGACTAACGGCGAAAACTCCTCCCAGTTTTGAAAGGTGCGCCCAGCAAAACTATCGAAACCAGCGACTCCTGTCCGGTCGAACAACCGTCTCCTTTTAAGCGTCCCCACCACATGCGCTATAAGCATATTGAGCTCCGTGCCGTTAAAGTTACACCCCTCCTGCCGGTTACCGCGCACCCACCACCCCTCTAGCGCCTCATTGGCCGGATTCAGCGTCGAGAAAGTCACATTCCACTCCTCCCGGAAATGCGCGACCACATCCGCTAAATACCCCGCGTACGCTAAGTAATACCCTCTTTTTAAGTTACTCTTACCGGTACTTAGCCCCGCAGTGTCCCCACTGACAGTCATCCACCAAGGGGGAGAGTAAGCCACTGCCTCTACCTCCTCCACTCCCCGATCGATCGCTCCAGCCAATACCTTCCGCTGCCGCCAATCCGCCGACCAGTCGTATGGCCCGGACACGGTTACGCGGTAACCAGGAATCGCCATGGCTTCGCAGGCTTCTGTTAGGAACTGGGGGCTTAGGAGGGGCTTGAAGCTGCCCCCGATAAGGTATCGGGCGAGGTTCAACCCAAGGCCGATAGAGGGATGGAAGAGCAGGTCGAGGAGGAACTTGAGCTGGTGTGCTGGGAGCTTGCCAATGTAGTTTGCGAACCTGGGGGGTTGAATGCGGTGGAGAGGGGTGGAAAGAGGCAGAGAGGAGGTTGGATGCGGTGAGTGGGGATGGACAACCAGGTGGTACTACAAGGTTCAAGCCGAGGCCGATGGGGAAGAAGTTCTTGAGGCGCCTCAAAAAACAACCTCAATGCACAAGGAAAGGAAAGGAAAGGAAAGGGTGGAGGTAATGTGGGAGGATGGGGAGGAAGGGGGGAGAAGGGGACAGAATACAGAGAGGAGGGAAGGGGACAAGCAAAAGAGAAGAGGGAAGGGGGCAAAAGACAGTGGATGGAAAAAAAAAAAGCTCATCTAGGCAGTTGGCAAACCTGGGGGTTACTTGAGAGGGAGAGTGTCTTTGCACATGTCTGTACTTGAGAGGGAGAGTGTCTTTGCACATGTCTGTACTTGAGAGGGAGAGTGTCTTTGCACATGTCTGTACTTGAGAGGGAGAGTGTCTTTGCACATGTCTGTACTTGAGAGGGAGAGTGTCTTTGCACATGTCTGTACTTGAGAGGGAGAGTGTCTTTGCACATGTCTGTACTTGAGAGGGAGAGTGTCTTTGCACATGTCTGTACTTGAGAGGGAGAGTGTCCTTGCACATGTCTGTACTTGAGAGGGAGAGTGTCTTTGCACATGTCTGTACTTGAGAGGGAGAGTGTCTTTGCACATGTCTGTACTTGAGAGGGAGAGTGTCTTTGCACATGTCTGTACTTGAGAGGGAGAGTGTCTTTGCACATGTCTGTACTTGAGAGGGAGAGTGTCTTTGCACATGTCTGTACTTGAGAGGGAGAGTGTCTTTGCACATGTCTGTACTTGAGAGGGAGAGTGTCCTTGCACATGTCTGTACCTTGCTCGGATCTAATGCACGGACCGCTTGAGTTGAGAGTGTAACGCAACAAACCAAACTCCCAACCACCCATTTCTCCCAACATCTCCCCGCCCCCCACCCCCCTTTGGAATCACACAAACAAAACCCCTCCACCGCTCATCACCATACCAAACCCATCCTAGGTTCGCACCATCCCAACGAAGTGCCCCATCCTCTCCATGTCTGCCCCGTGCGTGCAGGGGTGATGCGCACTTGAGCATGGCCTGGGATCGCAGAAAAGAAGGGATAAAATGGGGTGCAGTGCGGTGGGATGCGGTTGAGAACGATTTATGCACTCATCGGTGCCCCCTCCTCTCCATGTCGCAGGGGTGATGCGCACTTGAGCATGACCTGGGATCGCAGAAAAGAAGGGATAAAATGGGGTGCAGTGCGGTGGGATGCGGTTGAGAACGATTTATGCACTCATCGGTCCCCCCTCCTCTCCATGTCTGCCCCATGCGTGCAGGGGTGATGCGCACTTGAGCATGACCTGCGATCGCAGAAAGGACGGGATAAAATGGGGTGCAATGTGGTGCGATGGGATGAGGAGCAAACAGCATGAGAGTGGCACGAGGAACAGAAAGACATGGCGTGGGATGGGGAGAGATGGGGTGTGATGGAAAGGGTTTGGGTACGGAACGATCACTCCTTAACAGAAAGTCTTGAGACGCCGCAAGCTCAATAATTTTGCATGAAACTCTGAAAAGTAAGACTGAAAAGACTAAAAGATGTCTGGAAGAATTCGAAATTGGTTTCCAAACGACTCAGGACCCACGCGCTTACTCTGAAGCAGTCTACTCTCCTGCTGGTGTGCGGACTGCGAGAATATAGATCTGATGATTAGATGATTCAAACCCAGCTATTAGTCTGAAGCGGCACCCTTACCTGCGGGCGTGAAGACTGTGAGTATCTAAATCTGGTTATTAGATGATCAATACACAGCTCTTTAGTGTCTGAAGCGGCACCCCCACCTGCTGGCGTGCAGACTGTGAGAATCTCGGTCTTGGGACGAAGCCCTCCAGTGTCTTTTTCGCCAATTTTATCCTCACTATTGTCATCCTCGCCATTATCATCCTCGCCATTGTCATCCTCGCTACTGTCATCCTCGCCATTGTCACCCTCGCCATTGCCAACTTCGTCATTGTCATCCTCGGCCATTTTCACAATAAGCCTCTGTTTCTCCTCCCGCCTTTCACCGGCAGCCATGTCCGGAATCACTCTTCCCCACCCTCCCCTCTTCCCTTCCACTCCCCAAATCTCTCCGCTTCTCGTCGCGTCTGCTTCGGTTGGAGTCTTCTGGAGTTTCTCCTGAGTTTTGGATATCTGTTCACGCTCCTTGGGAGAGTCGGAAGCGTAACCTTCCCGAGGCAAGAAGGAGATTTGATTCTGTTTTTCGTCCACATCGCTCCGGAATTCGCGGAGGTCGTGGGTAGCAGCCGCGGCGGCGCACACGCCTAGTGGAGGGAATCGTGCGACGGCGAGGGCAAGCAGAAGGAGGAGAGTCGTCGCCTGGCGACCTTGTGCGACGAAAGGAGCCATTTGGCTACTGCGTGGAGGAGTGACAACTCCGCGTTGAGGAGTGAAAGCCCTACATACGGGAGTGAAAAGCCATTTATCTCGCTTCCTTCCTTCATCAGACGTGATATGTTTCAAGTTGGTGATGATTCGTGCTACCACAGTCACCACCACCACAGTCACACCATCCATCCCCCCTCGAAGTCCCCATGCCTACATCAAGTGAACCGACGTCGAGGACCCATTTGCGATACTTCGTGTCCTTGCTAGCACGATGAAACGAGTGTGACCCCGATGCGAAACTTTTAGGAGCTGAAGCACCGAGCGACGTGCATGTCACATACCCCGTAGTGGCACATTCAAAGGTGTTACGCAGTTGGGTGCAAATCGGCGGTTTATATTAGCTTCTTGCATGTTTTAAAGTGGTTTTGGAAGGTGCTGCTTTAGACTGCAATGCACGAAACAGAACACTCTAGCGATTCAATCCAGCACAACCGTCCTGCAAATACAAACTTTGAAATCAGGGCGGATTCCAAGGCTTCGGATTTGTAAGACCGACCAGCCCATTACACCGTTTTTACATATAAATACAGAATTAGCATTATTGCATTAGAATAATGTCAGAACTAAGGTTAGGAGGTTCTCCACCAGTGTGTAATCGCCATAGCAAGGGTCAGACCACTCCTACCAACCCGCTTATTCCAGTCCGGATATGCAGCCATGCAATGCGCATCATCCGTCACAATAAAAGCGGATTTGCTCCTATCAGTTGCACTAGCTCTGGCAACGACATCATTTATTGCTGTGCGTAATGTAAGCCGGTACTGGTCCAAGGATCGTAGCACAGGTGCAGAACACACCCTGTTAAGTCCTGGCGTCATACACCTGTCAAGTGTGTTGTTGTCTGGGAGTCGAGGTGGGGAGAAAGAAATACCGGCTCCAACTTTATCATATGTGCTTTGCACAATGAACACGGGTGTAGAGACGTATTGGAGGTTGTACTGTGGGAAAAAGCAACGCCAGAGCTCCTTACTGCGCCAGTAAGCTGTTGATGGGCGGAGGGCAATGGTCAAAACAAAGTTAGAGCATGAGGAAAACAATGAAGGAAGTTCAAAACTGGGGAGGGAAGGATTTAATGGAAGAGAGAGAGGGAATGAAGAGAGGAAAAGGGAAAGGAGTGAGATGAAGGATGAACAAGACTGGCCAAGGGTATGTAGTGTGGAGTGGAGTGGACGGCGAGACAATGAAGGAAATGGGGAATGGTTGCAAGTCCAGTGGCCTGTCCTGAACATACCCGTGCGACAATCATCGTCAGCAGCGGCAGTCATGGAATGGAATCGAAACATTCGCTGCACAATGCCTCGAAAGCTGTACTGCCCGGTGATGTCCGGGGTGTCTGGGGAAAGAATGAGAAAGGAGGGTGGGGGGGGGGGGGAGGGAGGGAGGGAGTGTTAGCGTCGACATTTGCTACACAATATTTTGGAAGCTGTACAGCCTGCTGATATCCTCCTGCCTGCTGATATCCCCCAGCCTGCTGATATCAGCCCTGCTGTACAGCTTCCAAGGTGTCAGGGGGAGATATGAGAAAACAAGAGAATCGAAGGGAGGAAACGGAAATGCAGATGCTGGTGATGCAGCACAATCTGATCCACCAAATTGTTTGTTAAAAGAAACACATATTATACTACTTCACAACTTAATACATTTCTAAAATTATGGGTGTACATACCCATGAAGAAGCCAGCGTCCATGAGGCATTTGACTTTGGCGGTACGAGGGAAGTGGAACTGAGCCATGGCATCACACGCCATCGACACCGCTATAGCGCCAGCGGAGCAGCCTGTAAGGAGGACGGAATTCGCTTGCTTCAGACCCTTGTTGTTGAGATCTGAGGGATGGGGAACGTGGAGGGATGAAGGGTGAATATGTCATGTTGTGTGTGTGGTATGTGTGATACTTTATATGTGAGCTATAACACCAGCGGAGAAGCCTGTAAGGAGGACGGAATCCGATTGCTTCAGACCCTTGTTGTTGAGATCTGAGGGAAGGGAACGTGGGGTTGGTTGGGGGAGGGGCGGAGGGGGAGGATGGGGGGTGAATAGGGCATATGGTGTGTTATACGTGTGTTATGTGCGCTATAGCGCCAGCGGAGCAGCTGTAAGGAGGACGGAATCCGCTTGCCGCAGACCCTTACTGTTGAGATCTGAGGGAAGGGAACGGGGGGTTGGAGTAGAAAGAGGAGGAATGTTTGGGGAGGGGGGTAGGAGGAGGGTGGGGAAGAGGCTTAGTGTGGAGTGTGGGAGGAAGGAGAGGGTGTGAAACGTGGGTTTGGGGGAAAGGGGAAAGGTGGGGATGGATAGTCCAGGTGGTGTATGAGGTGCTATTGTTGTGAGCTTTGAGGCGCCTGAAAAGTTGTGGGACGTCGCAAAACTCGTCTCGAAACAACAAAAAAACTAAGCGACGTCTCAAAACTCGTATGATATGAGGTGTTTTGGTGGTGGTAGGCTTTGAGCCGCCTGAAAAGGAGGTTGGGGGTGGGTTAGCCATGCGTGTTATGTGTGCTATGGTGGCGAAATCTCTGGTTGATGTATTTGCTTGCTAAAGTGGCCTGCAAATGCAATCCCATGAAACCAACTCCCAATACCGCTGTCACTATTTCTGACCTGCTTTCCAGAGGTCACTCAGATTAATTCTTTGGTATAGGCTGCATCTAAACCGAAACACGCACCTCCCAGAATCGAGTTCAAAATCGGTCGTCCGGAGAGATAGTACGGTTGAGAGTGGTCGTACAGGGCTTTTCCCTTCACCCCGGCGAAAACACCCCCGTCGCAGTACAGCACAACCACCATGTTCCAGGAATAGAAGTAGGGATTTTCCGACGAATCGCCGCTCAGCATGCCCTGAAACCCCGCTCCCATGCTGTCAAGCTGGTTGGGCGAAAGGCGGGGGGGACGAATGAGGGAGGGGATGCATTCGGTACAGTACACATTGAGAGAGCGGAAAGATGCACCTTCATCGCAATACAGCACGACCATCATGTTCCAGGAGTTGCAGCACGACCCAGATAAATCGCCGCTCAGCATGCCCTGAAACCCCGCCCCCTTGCTGTCAAGCTGGCGGGGGGAAGGGTGGGGGTGGGGAGAGTGGGTGAGGGAAGGCGTATACATCGAGAGAGGGGAAAAATGCCCCCGTCGCAATACAGCACAACCACCGTGTTCCAGAAGTAAAAGAGCAGAATCTCCGACGAGTCGCCACTCAGCATGCCCTGAAACAGTGAGAAGAGAACTGACTGACTGACTGACTGACTGACCGACCGACCGACCGACTGACTGACTGACTGACTGACTGACTGACTGACTGACCAACCAATTGTTTGACTGACTGACTGACTAACAGACTGACTGACAGAGTGACAGTCAAGTCTGTCAGTCAGACATACAGACAGACAGACTGACTGACTGACTGACTGACTGACTGACTGACTGACTGACTGACTGACTGACTGACTGACTGACTGACTGACTGACTGACTGATTGGCCGACCGACCGACCGACCGACCGACCGACCGACCGACCGACTGACCGACCGACCGACCGACCGACCGACCGACCGACCGACCGACCGACCAACCGACAGACTGACTGACTGACTGACTTGACCAGCCGTTGGTTGAGCCCAGGTCTGTGTCGGCCCGTAGGTGGCACTGACTTACTGACTGACTGATCGACTGACTGACTGACTCACTCACTGACCGACTGACTCACTGACTGACTGACTTGACTAGCTCACTGACCGACCCACTGACTGACTCACTATCTGACTCACTGACTGACTGACTGACCATCTAGTAAACGGCACTCACGTTGCTTTCAAAGCCCGAATCCCCCGGCCTGGGCCAACCCTTGGTCGACCCCAGCTCTGTGTCGGCCCGTAGGCGGCACTGACTGGGGGAGAGGCACCAGCGACCGCCCTGCAGAGGAGTGGGGAGGAGTGGAAAGGGGTGAGGAAGAGTGGGGAGGAGTGGGGAGGAGTGGGAAGGCGTGAAGGAGGAGCCAGGTGTGTGCTAGCCTTTGGTTGAGCCCAGGTCTTTGTCAGCCCGTAGGTTGCACTGACTGGGAGAGAGGCACCAGCGACCACCGTAGAGACGAGGAGTGAGGATATTGGAAGAGTGGGGAGGAGGAGTGGAAGGAGGGAAGGGGAGGAAAGGGAGAAATGGGGTGGACGAGGGACCAGAGAAAAGAACTTGAGTAATAAAATCACTTTTTTTTTTCCAGAAACTCTTGTGCGGTTATTCTGCCCGTTCCGTCTGTCTCACGTGATTCAGTCCAGCTTGCTTCAACTCCCCCCCCATGAAGTAAAAATGCGCAAATGTATCTTTCCCTCTTTGTGTTTTTCAAATGTTTTTTCCATCCTCGCTTCCACGCCAATAAAGTTGTGTTTTGCAACAAGCCCCCGTCTTTCCCCCCCTTCCCCCCCCCCGCTCACCTATATAATGACACACGACTCACCATAAGGTATATAAGCCATTTGTTCGCTCCAAGTCCGTACCCAGGCCGGTAGTAATACGCGGGAGGGCTGCGCAGGCGGATAGGGGGGAGACGCGGGCGGATGGGGGAAAGATGCGGGCGGATGGGGGGAAGATGCGGGCGGATAGGGGAAAGATGCGGGCGGATGGGGCGAAGATGCGGGCGCATGGGGGGAGGATGCGGGCAGAATGGGGAGGTGAGACAGACAGCTGGATGCGAGGAAGGGGAGACGGGAGGGGCTGGTGTGCTATCTGTTCGTTCCCCAGCCGTAGGGGGTGAGAATGCGCCAGGTCGGGGGAGGAGGGCAAGGGGGGTTGCGGGCGGATGGGAACACGAAGACAAGAGGGAGTGAGGGAAGGGAGGTGGGGGGTAGGTGAGTCGTGACTCATCTTCTCATTCGCCCATTCTTTTGCTCTGAGTTCGTCGAAAATCCAAGACAGACGAGCTGCTTCAAACATCAATTGATGCAGCCAAGCTCGAACGCAAAGCTTATCCTTGCTGCTTCTGCGTTAATGCTCACTCCGCCGTCCACACCACACACTTCTGCCGCCCTCCCAGCCGCCCACTCTGCCGCCCACCAGCCACCCTCTCCGCCACCCACAAGCCACCCACCTGCCGTCCAGGCAAGTCGCGTTGTTCGCCGTCGTCAGCCGCACGAACTGAATGGGCGGCGGAGCCGCCCGCGGCGCGGGTCGAGTCGGGGTCCCGCTGCGCCTGCCTGTCCGCCTCTTGCTCGAGCCGCTGCTACTCCGCCTACCCGCGGTCCCCGACTGCCTCCCCGCGTTCTCCGGCTGCCTAGTCGCGTTTCCGGACTGCCTCCCCGCGCCGCTGGTTGCGCGTCTGGGGCGACGCGGTGGCGGCGCGGCGCGCTTTGAGCCGGCGGAAGGGGGGGCGCTATTCCTTGTCGTATTCGAAGCGCGGCCTGCTTGCGCCGGATCCCCGCTTTTGCGCGCCCCCGCGCGGCGCGGGGGTGCGGGGACAGTTCCCCGCGCGGGAAGGTCTTTCCGCGCAGGCGGAGACTTCCGCGCGGGCGGAGGCGTTCGCGCAGTGCGGTTGACACTTGCGCCGTCGCGGCTGCTTTTTCTCACTGGCGGGGGAGATCGCTCCCGCCGGTTGTTCCCCTGCCGTGCGACCACGGCTGTGGATTGAGACGCGCCGATATCCGCGGTACTATCAGCTACGTTATCCGCGACAATATCCTGGCCATCGTGTTCGGAAGCATTTGTTTGGATGTTAAAAAACGACTCCGCGTGCTCCATCGCGCTGTTAGTTTTGTTTCGGCGGCCGATGTGGCGCCCGCGAGCATGCGGGAGTCGTCGCCGTTCACCCGCAACTGGCTCGGGCGAAAGCGATTGCGAAAGGGCTAACGAAGATGTTACCGCGGTCGCGTTGTTATGTTCGCTGTCGTACGAGGCGGCGGCGGCAGCGAAGTAGGAGTTGCGGGATTGGCGGTTACTAGAGATGGGATATATGGGAGAGTAGGGATAGAAGGGACGGAGGCTAAAGAGGCCGTGGAGAAGCAGGAGAGACAGGAGGAGGGCGGCTCCTGACGGAAAAGCTAACGGGCTTCGACGTCGGTTGAGGCGGCGTGGAGGAGACGTAGACGGAGTTTGACGAAGATCGAGGTCGAGAGAATGTGAGAAAATCGGACTGTTTCTAAAATCACGTCTACCGTTGCCGCGACTTCGCTGAATCAGCATCGTGTTGTTTCCTGTTTAGCGCTTTTGCGTCCGATCGACGGTCAGAAGGAGACGTACCGAAAGACCTAACTACCTCTACCCCCTCTCGCTCCTGCCTCTGCCCCTTCTTTTTCCCCCTAAGTCCGTCGACCCGGATTAAGCTTCGGCCTGGTAATAAAAAACTCTTTCTTGAATCGAATGTTACAGCAGGGGCACTAATAGTTGTCATTAACAACGTAAAACATTCGTTAGATGCTCAATGCGCATGTCTATGGAATAACCTCAGTTTTTTTTTTTTTTTTTTTTTTTTTTTAGAACGCAAGTGCACTATAACAATGCATATACATTCACAGTCCTATCTGGGAATAGCCTCAGATGCTCGCTGAGCATGTCTAGACCGAAATCGTCGCTATATGCTCTGTGAGAGAATACTCGTTAGTCGCAACATGAACTGCATCTCTCGAATAAGGCCCCGACGATGGCATCACAGCACGTCTTGCGGTATTTGGAATCGACGCAAACCCGTCACGAAGCGTGGGCCAAGGCACTGATGGCAATGACATGACATTCCACGCCAACAGTTCGACTTGCGAGTAATTACGCACAGTTGTCAATGCCGATTGCCACATATCGTGCCGTCCTAGCTAACAAGAAAGCCGTCGCCCTAGATAGCTCTTAGCTGCTGACTCACGCCACGACTCGTGACTTACGACGGCAGGAGTCAACATGGGAACGCTGCACAGGCTGCTCGTGCGATATGAGTGGTTGAACACTCACGAAACTGTTACGATTTTTTAGGCGCCTCACGGAACTGTGTAGTGGAAGAACAAATTTGTTCTGCGGGGCGCGGTTGCGACTCGGAATGGGGGCATTGGGCGCCACGGAAAATTCGCACGAACGAACGACCGACCCATTGGAGGGAATGGCAGGGGGGGACTGCTCTGCTGCAACGCAGCACAAAATCTGGGTTTCTCTGCCCCCGCATTTCTCTGCTCTGACACTGGGAGTGTCGGCCAATTCCACGCATCTCAATAGGCGAAGAGCATATCTTGCGCGGTATAGTATTGTACAGTTTGCCTCGTAAAGCGCAGAAGGGCTATACAGTGATCGTACTGGAGATGTCTTACCTTTTGTTACGAGTGCAATTGAGTGAGCGAGCGAGAATTGCACTATCGAAGCAAGAGTACAATGAGCGAAGGCGTGAGCGAAGAATATATAGCGAAACTACAGTGGTAACGGTAATGGACTGTGGTTGTCGCGCGACGGGCCTGGGACTGAGGTTTGGGAAAATGTCGAAGCGGAGGCCCGGAGCGCGGGTTACCCGCCGAGCTGTGAGGTCGGGGTGCGACGTGCGAAGGTGGCGGGAGGATTGTCGATGCGATGGTTGCGAGTGGTAACGGTGCTGACTGTGGTGCCACAGTAGTGTACGCGCTGAGCGGGGACGCGAAGTAAGGAAAAGGAATTTTCCTTACACTACCCCCCACCACCTAAGAAGGTCCTCCTTTGCGAAAGTGCGAGTACATCCCTGAAGTTTCGGCTGCGCAGATACTCGGTGAGGACGGGGTGGTTTTCGATTCTGTCCAGGGGAACCCAGTTGTCTTCGGTGGGTGTACGGTCTTTCCAGCGGATCAGGAACTCGATCCTTCGGGCTCCTCGAGGGTCACGAACTCTGTGGCTCAGGATTTTCTCGGGGTTGACAATTGGTTCAGTCGGCGGTCGTGTCATGGTGGCAGGCCGGTTGCGTGGCAGTTGGCTTGTGGACGGGACGTAAGGGCGAAGCAGGCTGACGTGGAATGAGGGGCTGACGTACCAGTCAGCGGGGAGGAGGAGGTGGGCGGTGACGGGCGTAATCATGTGGCTAATGCGAAATGGCCCGCAATATCGGGGGCGGAGTTTTGGGGTGATGGGCAATCGGAGGTTCTGAGTGTCGAGTAAAACTAGGTCGTCAGGTTGGTAAGTGACAGGTCGGCGGTGACGGTCGGCATTACGTTTAGCGATGATGTTGGATTTTTTTATTGCGTCTGCTGCCCGGGTCCGTGCTGCTTGTAATATTTCAGCGAACTGTTGTGCTCGTGGCACTGGGTTGTCGAGATTCGGGGTCATGGGTACTGTCGGGTCTTGTCCGTAGTTCAGGTAAAATGGTGACCGTTGGGTCGTGGCGGACGGTGAGTTGTTGTATGCGAATTCAATGAGTGGCAGCTGTTGTTCCCAGGTGGTTGGGTCGTCGCACGTGGCTCGGATGAGTTGCTCCATGGTCCGGTTTGTCCGTTCTGTCTGTCCGTCAGTTTCGGGGTGGTACGAGGAGCTGAACTGTAGTCGCGTGCCGAACTGCTGCCATAGGTTCCGCCAGAAGTTGCTGGTGAATTTCGTGTCGCGGTCGGTGATTATTGTTGCTGGTATCCCGTGCAGTCGAACGACGGTGGAGATGAAGAGGGCGTGCTGTTTCTTCGGCTGTGATTGATTTTTTGCAGGCTGCGAAATGTGCCATTTTCGTCAGTCGATCGACGACGACCAGGATCGCGTCGTTCCCACTCGCCCCGGCCGGTAACCACGTGACGAAGTCCATCGTCACCTGCTGCCAAGCACGCTCTGGGGGTGGTATCGGCTGCAACTGTCCTGCCGGCCGCTGACGTGATGATTTCATGAGCTGGCAAGTGGGACACGATGCCCTGCTGCGAATTTCCTCCTGTGAAGAATGGATCCGTTTGGTACCCGTGGGGTAAATAGGCCTGTCAGTAGGGGACTGGTCTGGGCGAGTAGTATTGTGTGGATCTGGGCAGTGGGGCGGGTCAGTGCGTCGGCGATGTTTGAGGCTCCTTTTTTATAGGTGACCGTGTAGTGAAAATTGGACTCGAGAAAATCGAGCCAACGAATCTGTTGTGGGTTGAGGTGCGGCTGTGCGCGAAGGTACTGTTGTGATTTATGGTCTGTCCGTACTGTCACGTCCGCGCCGGTCAAGTAACAGAGCCACACTTTGAACGCGTGCACGATCGCAAGCATTTCGCGGTCGTGTATCGGGTAATTTCTCTCAGGCGGATGCAGTTTTCGTGACTTGTATGCGATGGGTTGTAGGCCGTTGCCGAAATCCTGTAGCAGTACGGCTATGATGGCGATGTCGCTTGCCTCGGTAACTACTTCGAATGGGCGGTGTGGGTCAGCGATGCGCAGGACGGGCGGTGAACAAAGAACATTTTTCAGGGTAGAGAAGGCAGCATGCTCTTTCTCCCCCCACGTAAAAGTGACCCCCTTCCGTAATAAGTCCGTCAGCGGCGCCGTTAACCGTGCCATGTCGGGGACGAACCGACGCACGTAGTTTACGAACCCCAAAAAACTCTGCAGTTCCGTGATATTCGAAGGGGGGCGCCAGGCTTTCACCGTGTCTAACCTTTTTGGGTCAATTTCGACCCCGGCCTCCGAAAAAACGTGCCCCAAAAACTCTAACCTGTCCTGAAAGAACTCGCACTTGGAACCCTTTGTCAGTAGCCGATGCTCGTCTAAAATCTTAAATACTGCTTCCAGATCTGCTAAGTGCTGCTGCTTGTCATGACTGTAAACGAGGATGTCGTCGAGGTAAACTATCACGCATTGATCTAAAAGTGGCCTAAACGCCTCGTTCATGGTCATCTGAAATGTCGCTGGTGCGTTGATCAGCCCGAAAGGCATCACGGTGTACTTGAATGATCCGTATCTAGTCCGGAAAGCTGTTTTGG